CAGTTCTGGATGCAATAAAGTCTAGGTTGACTGGGTGGAAGAGAAGGCTTCTTTCCTTTGCAGGTAGATTAACGTTGATTAAGTCCATTTTATCTAACCTTCTGATTTATTATCTGTCTTCGTTTAGAATTTCTTGTGGAGTGCTTAGAGAGATTGAAAGGCCTGAAGCTTCTTTTCTTTGGAGTGGGAATGATTTGAAGAGGAAGGTTCATTTGGTGAAATGGACTGAAGTTTCTAAAAGTCTGAATCAAGGTGGGTTGGGAATTAGAAGAATTAAGGATGTCAATGCAAGCTTACTTCTTAAATGGTGGTGGAAATTTGGAAGTGAAGTAAATGCTCTTTGGAGAAGAATGTTGTGTAGGAAATGTATGATTGAGGAGGTTAAATGGCTCCCACCTATAAACTCATCAGCTAGATTTTCTAGAATCTGGGGAGATGTTCTTGCAGTTACTAGTCTGAATCAACCTCGTGTGGAGTTCTTTGTGGAGAAATATCAAATAAAGGCGGGCAATGGGAGTAGAATCAAGTTTTGGTATGATAAATGGGTTGGTGGTAGTTGTCTTAAGATGAATTTCCTAGATTATTTAGTTTGACAACAGTAAAAGATGGCACATTGTCCTATTTTTTTGAGAGGAAATCCAGCTCTGGGGAGTGGAACTTTTGTTTCTGTAGGCCATTATATGATTGTGAAAAGGCAGAGGCTAATAGGTTGGCAGCAGTGCTCCTCTAAATCTGAATGAGGAAGACTACCCTGTTTGGAATGGATCTATTGGTGACAAGTTTAAAGTCTCAGATATATATCAGTATAGTGTTTCCCTCTTAGGCCCTTCTCTTCAAATTTGTAAGTTTGTGTGGAATAATGACATTCCGCTCAAAGCCCAATTTTTTGGGTGGTTGGCCTGGAGGAATAGAGTGAAAACAGGGGTCTTTTTAAAACATATAGGTGTTCTGAAAAGTAAGGCTTTTGTGCTATGTGCTTTTTGCAAAGTTGAAGATGAATCTGCTATTCATGTATTATTACATTGTCCATTTTCATGGCAGGTGTGGTCTGATGTAATGCTTTGGTGGGGGTGCCTATGAGTGGTTCCAAGGAATATTGATGGATTATTTCATTTGTGGATAGGGTGGAACTATAAGAAATTAGCTAGGAGATTGTGGAGAGCCTTGCCCTGTATTATACTTTGGTCCATTTGGAAATTAAGGAATGAATGTTTGTTTAATGGAGTGCAACCTTGTGCATCTGAGTTAGGTAAGCTGATAAAGATTAGATTTGCTTTATAGGTTAAAGTTTCTGTAAAAAGGAACATGTACTCTGTCTTGGATATAATCATCAATTTGGCTCAGATTAAGGAATGCATTTGAGGAGTGCCATGGATTTGATCAATTTTTAGCCTGCTGAGTTGGATTCTGGACTGGTTTTTGGGGTGTATGGTCTAATATAATCTGAGGGTTGTTTGTGGGACTAATGGGTGATAATCTGCTGGGTCTGGTGGGTGATAATCTGCTTATCTGCTAATCTGGTTTTCTGCTGCGGTGTGGCTGGTCTGCTACTCTGTATTTGATGCTAATCTGCTAATCTGTAGCTGTGTATCTGCTGCTGTTTTTGGCCTCTGCTAGCATTAGGTTGTATGCCTCTATTTGATTTGTTTGTATTTGGATTAGGTTGCACGCCTCTATTTTGATTTGTATATGCTGTATTGTTGTCTCTGTTAGTTGCTATCTCTGTTGGTTTCTCACCGACAGGGTCTTGGTTTGGTGCTGCCATGTGATGGCTTGCATCATCCCTCTCTTTTTTGTTGATGTTTTCTTCCTTTCTGTAAGGTTTTCCATGATCAATAAAAGGTTCTTTGTTGTTGATCCAAAAAAAACAAAAAAAAAAGGAATTTCAAAAGAACCTTAAATGTTTTCAAGAAGGTGCAAAGTAAAGGTGTCAAACTAGATTACAAATCACACCCACAAAGTAGTGAGATGTACATTTTTACAAGATAAAATGTTTAGTCATTTAAAAAATAGAGCACAGTGGACATGTATTGATTATTTTCTTAATGGAACTGACTAAAGTAGTATTATTAGACCGTGTTTCACCATCTCTTATAAAATTAATTGGTATAAAAGATGTTTTCACTTACGTCTTTCATGACATTTGACATTAGGTTTGTAGGTCTATTCTTAGAGCTATTGTAAGAAGTAGCATTATGCACCCAACAATCCCTCCCTCATGATGATACTCCTGCAACACCAACCCACGACATCTTGGTTCTAATACCCTCTATTTAGGCATTGAAAAATGGAAAAAAAAAAATATATCATTTTTAAAATTAAAAAGAAAAAAATGAGGGAGGGATGGAGGGGGGGACGGAGGGAAAAGACAGTTTAAGTGCTTACTTAAATATCATAGTAAAGTGGAGGTTTTCATGATTTTGTGATCACAATTTAATTATTTTAAAGCGAAAACGGCTAAATAAAGTTTAAAGAAAATAAAACATGTTTAGTAAATGCATGATGCAAATACAAACTCATCCGAGCTTGGAAAAAATTTAAGTTCTTAATTGTTACCAAATATAAATTATATACTTATCATGAAGGCAATTGATGTCAAAGATCAAACCAATGTTAAGTTGCAATGCTCCCAAGTCCCAACCTTTTAGCAGTACTTTTTCTAGGTTGATATGAAATGGGATATGTTATATGGACTCAAATACAAGTGTTGACTGTAGGTATGTATTAAGTGTCCAAGGATATAGAGACATAGAAAGTATTCATTTGTTTTAATATGCTTCTTTTATTTTCTAGGATAAAATGGTGTTTTTGTTAAGTGTCAAGCATAATATGGAAGGTTTTAAGTGTAACTTTACGATTAACTCAAATTACGAAATATGTTAGCTCGGTGAATGTCTAATTACACATGTCTATCTTTATCTAGGTGTTGAGTGTCCAACATTGATACTTGTACAATACACGTAACTCGGCCTCCTTCTTACAAAAACAAAAGTTTGAATTTAGTGATCTCTTTAGATTATGAAAAAAATAAAAATAAAACAATATATATATAGATATGCTAAAAAAATATGAAGTAATCCTATCGATACAATTTTTATAACGGTTTCCTTTGTTGTTGCCATGCACCATAATTTTTGTTTAAACAAAGACAATAAACAAAAAAGAAGAAGAGGGAAGCACACAACTATGGCTCTTGCCTCTAGTACAGCAGTGGAATGAGAAGGGAGGTCACCAATCTGAGCACGTTAGGCATCACGGGAGTAAATCGTATACCGATGTGGTCCGAGGCAGGGTAGTTCAATCCAGTTCAGCTCGTACTATTAAAGTTCAGAGGGGAGGGAATAGTTGGTTGTATGCAAGTACTGTAGCAAAATTGAAACCCAATCTATCGGCTGAAGATCTAAAGGATGAAGTACACAGACGTGGTTATGGAGATGTCACAATTAGAAGAGGAGGTGGAAGGCAATGAGTGATTTCCTTTCAGTCCGTAGAAGCTAAGTGGGAGAAGTTATTGTTAATAAAGGAATGGCTTACAAATTGGTGTGAATCAGTTGAGGATTGGGAAGAAGGAATGGTGATGGATCAGGTGAGGCAGGTGTGGTTAAGTTGTTATGGTGTGCCACTGGTCTTGTGGAACAACAGTACTTTCTGCAGTATAGGTAAAGAGTGGGGTGTAGCTCTTGAAATGGATGAGGACACGACTAATTTATCATCCTTCCACTGTGGGAAAGTTAAGATAGAGACAAGATGCATGGACATCATTAATCATACAATTAATCTGGAGTGCAAAGGGGTAATCTACCCTGTTAGGATTTTGTGAGGAACAGATTATAATTTCAAAAGTAGTGCAAGAAAGGTGCATATGTCAATCCTTTATGAGGAATAATGAGGAAAGCTACAGCTGCGAGAAAGAAGAAGAAACTATTGCAGATAGAGGCAGTAGGCAGGAGAAAGAAGATGATGACGTGGAAATACAGGTAAGTGCTGAGGTGGGTAAAGGGTGTGAAGTGGCTGCAGAGGATAGGGTGACTGAACAAGTCCCAAATGACATGGAGGAGGAAGATCGACTGAAGGAAATATCGGTGGTGGATGAGTCAGAAATGATGATGGGAGGGTCAGAAATAGGCGCTGCACGAGAGGAAGACTCTATAAGGAAGCTCTGTCAAGGGGAGTCAGAGGTGAGTGGCGCATGCAAGGAGGGTAGTTGGAGAGGCGATGATGAGGTCTACACCCCTGGTTTTATAAAAAGTCTGAGTGGGTCTATTGGGCCTCAACAAGGAATCAACATAGAGGTGGATTTAAATAGGGCCCAATTGGGCACAAGCAAAGAGGGATCGGCCTAAAGGGCTGCAGAACCAAGCAATGGGGTTGTTAATAACATTCTTTCTAATTCTGATAAAAGGTTGAAGCAGCGTAGTGTAATGTATAACAGGGTGAACTCAGCCCATATACTTAAAAATAAACTAAAGGAGAAAGGAATGGTAAGTAGAAGCCAGAAAATTTTGAAGCATTGGAAGCACAAAGAGAGAAAGACAGCAATACAATCATCACTGAATCTAAGAAAAGGGGCAAATTTTTTGATCTGATGTAGCTGCTATCTCACTTTCCATGGCCAGCAAGTCTAGTAGAGGGCGTTTACGATTATCAGAGGCAGAAGCATCTCTTCAAATTGGCAAAGTGTTGGGGGTCGATTGTGATGGCAAAGAGGAGGAGGTGATTAGCAAGCTAGAGGAATTGGAGGCCACAAACAAAGGAAAAGGGGTGAGAAGGAGAGATGAAGAGCATTGAGTCGTAAGGCTTAGGGGGTTTAAGTGTAAAAGTGTGTAATGAAGATACAATCTTGGAATGTTAGAGTCCTTGGAAGACCTGAGAAAATGAGAAGGATCAAAAGAAGTTTGGCGGAAAGGAAAATTAGTTTAGTGTTGATTCAAGAAACAAAGAGATCTACAATCACCACTGAAGTAATAAAATCTATCTGGTATGAAAATCAATTTGAGTATATGGCAGTGGATGCGGAAGGCAGAGCTGGTGGACTTCTATGTGTATGGAATCCAAAGGTGTTTCAACTAAATGCTTGTTGTGGCAACCGAAACTTCATTCTCATATCAGGTACTATCTTTTCATCTTTTAGTTGTGTGGTGGTAAATGTGTATGGTCCTACGGATGTGGTCAAAAGGCAAGAAGTTTGGGCAAATTTTGCTCTGTTGAAGAATCATTTCTTGGGGCCATGGTGGATGGGGGGTGATTTCAACGAAATAAGGAACACTGATGAACGGATTGGGTGTTCTAGAAGAGACCGAGGAATGAGGGATTTTAATTCTATGGTAGAACAACTAGAGATGATTGACTTACCAATGCTAGGGAGGAAATTTACCTGGTGCAACTCACAAACAAGGGAGAAATGGAGTAGGATAGACAGATTTCTACTTAATCATGAGTGGCTTCAGAACTTCAATCTCAAGGTATGGGGACTACCTAGGCTGTTATCTGATCATTGTCCTATAATATTGATGGAGGATGATCGTGATTGGGGCCCTAAACCATTTAGGTTTCTGAATGCTTGGGTTCTCCACCCTAGCATCGTACATTTAGTGCAGCAAACCTGGTCAGAAGCTCAGGTGGAAGGATGGGCTGGCTTTAGATGTCTCATGAAATTTAAAGCTTTGAAACAAAAATTAAAAGTCTAGAATACTGCTGTGTTTGGAAAAGTTGAGACCAAGCTTAAGGATGCTGAAAAGGAAGCTCATGCAATTGAATTAATTGCAGAAGATAGACCACTGTTGGGAAATAAACAAGCAAGAAGGAAAGAACTAATGGGTGAAATCTGGAGGTTGAACAAAATGCTGGAATGTATCTGGTTACAAAAGTCAAGAGTTAGTTAGGCCACACAAGGGGATGTAGGAATTCTTTGTGTTCTGTTATGGTGAATGGCTCATTGGTTGAGGAACCTTTGGAGGTTAGACTTAAGGTAAAAAAGCATTTCATGAACCACTTCTCTGAAACTTTGGCTGTCAGGCCTAAAGTGGTTGGTCAGTTCAAACATATTGGAGATAGTTCAGCAGTGGATTTGTTGGAAGCAGAGTTTACAGAGGAGGAAGTTAGTGATGTGATTAAGAGCTGTGAAGGTAACAAAGCACCTGGGCCTGATGGGTTTAACTAGGCCTTTTTTAAGAAATGCTGGGGAATAGTTAAGTCTGAGATAATGCAATTCTTTAGTGAGTTCCATCAGAATGCCACTCTGGTTAGTGGTTTAAATAGTTCATTCATTGCTCTAATTCCCAAAGTGGATAGTCCATCAAGCTTGAATGAATATCGGCCCATTTGCCTTATCGGTTCTTTGTACAAAATTCTTGCTAAGGTCTTGGCAAATAGAATGAAGCATGTGATGCCAAGAATCATTAGCAAGTCTCAATCAACATATTTGGGGGGTAGGAATATACTGGACGGGATCCTTATTACAAATGAGGTAGTTGATGGATGGAGAAAATCGAATAAGAAAGGTCTAGTGTTGAAACTAGACTTTGAAAAGGCTTATTGTACGGGGGCGAAATATTCAGTGCTTTCCGTACTCCTTGGACTCAAGCTTCACGTGACGGCGTCTAACCTGGCAACACAAAAACAGTGAGCTGCCCGGCGGTGGGTTGCCAGATAGACCCTCCGACGATCAAGTCAGATCACTTGAGGAAGAAGAAGGCTGTTAGAGAGAGAGTGTGTGTTTCAGATTGCATCAATTGCTTACCTCTAACATTCATCTTCCCTTCCTTTTTCTAGGCTGGCCATGCAGCCTCAAGATTGTGCACGTACTACCTCTGCTGTCCTTCCCTGGACAGGTGGCAGTGCTCGCCTCCCATCACCTTATGCGTGTAAAGGCCAAATCCTCCATCCAGTACCTGCAAAACTGCCAAACGGTATTGACGCGTGCCTGGAGCAGATTTCCTCTCGCTCACGCCATTGGCCCAAGTGGCACACTTGACCGGCATACCAAAATCGGCCTATTCCTTGGAGAAAATCACAACCACAGAGAGCACGACCGAGCTTCCGAGCTATCCGGTCGAGCGCACGCCGACCACCATCCTGGTCCAAACTCTCCGGGTTAACTGAAGGTGAAGCGTGCTGGTCCTCTTCTCGGCCTAGACTTATTCCGGACTGCCATTTGCTCGGTTGTGCCGTGCTAATGAGTGCCTATCGCCGAACGTCTAGCAGTCACAGCTTGGCCAGGCCTTAGGCCATGCCTGGTCGGCCAACCTACCTCGGCCGTGTAAGACAGGCCGGAGGGCCACGCCAACGGAGAAGATAGCTCGGCATCGTGAGGTTTGCCACGCCTGCGTTACCGTAGCTCGGCCGTACTGTCCGGTGCAAATCTCCCCTCTCAATTGCCTCTTAATCCCATCTGAGCTAATCGTGATTGGGGTTACCACCATGATCGAGCTAACAGTTCCTTAGTCGCGCCAGTACCAAGCCGAACGTGATTGGGGTCGAAACAATTACCGAGCTATCCCATTTGGTCGGTCTTCGTATCCTGTCCGTAGTCCTATCAAGGGTCGTACAACCATACTGACAGCCGTCCTTTTGATGCCACGTGGCTTCGTCCCATTGGCCCCGTGCAGCCCCAAAGCTGTCTTTTCATGCGCGAAATTCAAACGTTTTTCCCCCTTTTATGCACAAACGAAGGCTCATTTGCACCTACACTATTCATCTTCTCCTTCAAGCCAAAACCCTAGCCCTCAACACTCCAAAGTTCCATCATTACTGTCGTTGCTCCCCTTCGCTCCCCAACATCCATTTCTGTCCCTTCTGAAGCAGCAAACAAGCTTGAGGGGTCGACTTTGCTAGGCATCTGACATTGGTAAGTCCCTCTATCCATATTTCGTACTTTCAGTCTTTACTCTTCAAGTTCTTTAACAGTGTTCTTCATGTTCTTGCTTGGGGATGTTGGAATCACAATTGCTCCCCCAATTTGGGGTTTTCGTGCCCCTTGATGCCCCGAGCCTCAAAGCATAAACTCTGCACTTGGGATGAACAATTTGAATCTGGGTAGAACTGAGCTAAGTAGGCAACTTAGATCGATAAATAAAACTTCAGCTGAGCTAAAACTAGCTTGTGGCTTCTCATTGAGGTCGCGACCGTGCTGGGTATAGGGAGTCAGAACTGAACTAAGAAGGCCAAATCGTCCGGATAGTCGAGCTGAGATAGGAGCTAGACCGGCCACAGATAACGGGGGATTTTGACCGAGCTAGGAGTTCTAATAGGAGCTGTGCAATTTATGCCGTGCTAACCCTTGGGCTTATTTTTTAACAATGCAGAACAAACTAGGACCGACCAGGCCCCTTCAGCATTACCACTGGTGGAGCTCAAAGTCCTAGCAAATACACCAGAATTTTCCACCGAGATACAAATTAAACCACCAAATAAGTGAAACCGAGATAGATGGGGAAGTACAGGTTCATGGTGAGCTCGCCCAGTTATTAGCCTAGAATTACTATGCGATGCGCACGGCAAGACAAGTATAGACTAAATTGCCTAAGTCGGAACAAAGCATCGCATTTCCGTTTGTTTGGAAAATGGTTTGAATTTTGCTACTCGCGAGTAGGCTAAAATACGGATTTCGATGAATTATCCCAATTCAAACAATCCAACCTTCACCCACAGGCATTCATGCAGTTTATCAATTAAGCATTTAGCCACATGGTAAGCATGCTGTCATGTTAACATTCACACTCATGCAAGATGCTAAAGCATGAATACTTACATCGTACTCCGAGCCAAAACAAAGAACATGTTAGCAATCATGCATGATCCAAGTCCATGTTAAGTGGCTAATACAATGCATACAGAATGTCACTAGAATAGGCTCGGCTAATCCTAGGATGGCATGTGGGATGTAATAAGTAGCACGTATTCAAGTTAGATTTGGAATACTATGCTGTTAGCATGATGCGCCGAGCCCAGTGCATGCAATACTGATGAATGATGCACGCATGTATAGCATAAGGATGCTAAATTAAACATGTCCTAATACTAACCATCAAAAGCAGGTAAGTAAAAGGGAGAAAGAAGTGGGGGTTGGAAGACATGCACACACGCACCCACACTTATTACAAATTTGCCCTCGCTCGGAGGGACCAAAAGAATAATACAATTTAACTAACTATCGAGCTAATTAAATATTACAAACGATTAACTAGTTAAGCCAATTAACTAAACTAATTAAGCAATAAAAGTAGCCTCGGGAAAAGGGCCCAATGCATGTGCGCTCGGTTCCGCTCGGAAACCCACCACCATGCACAAGTTTGCCTCTGTTTCCCCTGCTCTGTTCTTCTGAAAATTGCACAGCTCCCAAGGTATGCTCTATGGACACTGTGGATCACCACCGACCAAGTGGAAACCCCACCGACCATGTCCGGATGGTCATCGACCATTTGTTGAGCTCTCGGCCATCAATAATTGGTTGGTCCGCACTCCATGTAGTCGACCGGCCAAGTCTTCCTGCAGAACCTGTTTTGACAGCAGTAGAGGGTAAAACAAGGCATGGCAATGTATTCCAAAAAAATGTGTGCACCAATATATCCCTTATCATGTTTATGACTCAAAGGGACATGGTTCTCGGTTCTCGGACCACCAATCGCGTATTTCGATGCGTGATGGCCCAAGAAACCAAGTTATGCACTTTGATTTCAAATGAAATGCACATAAACAAGCAAGGAGCTCAACCTCTATCATACTCAATTCAAGAGGCAAAGTATGCATGCCAATGTAATGCAACCTAGGCATGTGAGCTAAGTACGCAACATGATCATGCAAACAACAAAACCATGTGCAATGCACCATGAACTAAACAAGTAAGCATGCAAGGCATATAACATCAATGTTAATGACACACATGCAACAACATGAAAGGCATAACACATGTAAATATGCAAAGCAACTTAACACAAGAAGCATGCCAAATGCAATGACACTTAAACATGCAACATGTTAATAGGCTAAGTACCTAAAAATACAAACATGTATAGCATGCAACAACATGCCAAAGGGATGGTCTTAAACTAATTTGGACAGCCCTCTACTAGGTCCAAAACAGTGGCCAAATTGCTCAAGAATGGAAGCCAAAACACATACAAATAGGCGGGCTATTGTAGACGTCCCCGAACGCCCCGGGAGGATGATGAAAGCATTTCCAAATTGGCAAAGTGTTGGGGGTCGATTGTGATGGCAAAGAGGAGGAGGTGATTAGCAAGCTATAGGAATTGGAGGCCACAGACAAAGGAAAATGGTGAGAAGGAGAGATGAAGAGCATTGAGTCGTAAGGCTTAGGGGGTTTAAGTGTAAAAGTGTGTAATGAAGATACAATCTTGGAATGTTAGAGTCCTTGGAAGACCTGAGAAAAGGAGAAGGATCAAAAGAAGTTTGGCGGAAAGGAAATTAGTTTAGTGTTGATTCAAGAAACAAAGAGATCTACAATCACCACTGAAGTAATAAAATCTATCTGGTATGAAAATCAATTTGAGTATATGGCAGTGGATGCGGAAGGCAGAGCTGGTGGACTTCTATGTGTATGGAATCCAAAGGTGTTTCAACTAAATGCTTGTTGTGGCAACCGAAACTTCATTCTCATATCAGGTACTATCTTTTCATCTTTTAGTTGTGTGGTGGTAAAATGTGTATGGTCCTACGGATGTGGTCAAAG